GTCATTAGATTAAATACTTTAAGGCCACTATTTGTACAATTTGGTTTTACCCTAACAACTGCATTAATGTTTGATTTGTATACTGTAAAGTAAAATAATAAGATACAATTTAAAAGCTGGTTATATGGGAAGTAGGCGGGGTTGTCAAACATTTTCACAGTGTATGATAGCAATGATTGGGTAACCTCAGACACCAAATTTGGTTGAAAATGTTCCAGTAGTTCCTGAGATATAGGATTTCAGCTAAAAGTGAGTGTTTTTACACAGGCTTCCATAAAACCCTTTCCGGCCATACTAGCTGTGAAAATTAACTGAGTTATTTTAGTAATTTTCAACATAACCGTTATATGGGGTGTGGGCGGGTTCTTACTTGATTTGCTCCATTTTCATAGTGTAAAAAGAACTACTTGAGTTAGCCTTAGTGGTTTGGAAGATATGTACATTTAACCATTTAGAGGGCGGTGCCAGAACCACTTTTTAAACATGTTTAGCCCACAAGTGCCCCTTATCACTGCGATCCCCTGCACCAGATTAAAGATTTGTATGCTTAGTTATGGCACTTTATAAGTTTTCGTTTAATAGCGTTTTGTGGGCGTGGCAGTGGTGCGATTACACCCATCTACAATACCAACCCGCCTTGGGTGCCAAGGATCATGTGTACCAAATGTTATCGAGATATCTCAATTTGTACTCAAGTTATCGCTTGCACGGACAGACGGACGGACGGACAGACATAACTCCATAGATGATACAAACAGCCGTTGGGTGAACAAGACTATTATATTCAGAGCAACGTGTCAACGTAGAGACTAAGAAAAAATGTATGGATTGGTGTAACGTCTCACAAAAGTTAACCCTCACTAAACTAAAATAGTTTCGGCTCATTAGAAATGTTGAGAACACCTTTTATCTCTCTGATGCCAACATCTTCACCGGTTCTCTAACTGTGATTCCGTTGGAAACACAAAATTTCAAGCAAACTCGTTGTTCAATTTTTTTTCCTTGATAAAAATCTCTTCACACGGACATTAAAAAAGCTGTACCAACATTTTTTTTATCGATTCGATTTGCTCGCGCAACTTAAATGGACCATGGTCCTAGTCAAATTTGACCAGATGGTAAAGCTTAAGACTTAAGGCAACAATTCCAAAACTACGGCTTACGACTAGATGGGAGGATTTAGTATGTCAATACTTGTATGTATGGTATTTATACTTATACTTATACTTGCTGGTATCTGCTACTGTTGTATATTTTTACTATACACAAGCAGCTAATTTTCTGCTAACATATTTTTGACATTTAATTTTATGAATGAAGAAAATTCATGTGAAGAAAAGAAGTGCTGAAGATCGCTTTGCAAAGATTAATTAATCGCTGAAAGTGTTTCCATGTTCGCGATAGACAATCCAGTGTCAAAGCCGGTAGATTGATTGTATGAAACTGAAAGCACAAAGGACATAAGCATATATTGGCATGTGTCGGCGTGTAGAAGTATGCACAGGAGCGCGAATTTCAGCAAGTAAACATGCATCAAGCTGTCCTTTATATTTTACGGTTGAATTGATAACGCTTTATGAACAAATGTACCCACTGGTATATGAATATGGACGTTCTAAGTCAGACAAAAATTTTATTTATATATATAATATTCATTTCAAACAATAATCAGTAAGCAAATAATAAATACAAAAAAGTTGATCTCACAAACTGTACATATACTCGTATACTACGCAGTATGTAGATTGATATCTCCCTACACTCCACGAGAGGTTATAAGCAAATTGCTGTGCACCATGAAGTTATAAATAATTCTGCGAACTTCGTATGACGTAAACGCAGTACAATCAATTCAAGCGCTAAGAGACGACACGTACCAGAAGCTCAATCCATTCATATGCGCCACCGAGTGCATTCTGTCGTGACAACATCGAACGTTGAACGTCGCAGCCACGAAGTATCCTTTACGAGTATCTAAAAGTACTCATGTGTACAAAATCTGCGAAGCAAAGTTTTTAGGCTTTCGCGTGCTGAATTTGTGGCTGTTTGGTTACTACATGTTGGGCACATTTCCAGAAGCTAACAGGTGACAACGGGTTGTGATCAATCAAGAGAATCGATTTTTAATTAAGGAATCTTGTTAGCATATGCTATTATCGGGCATTTGCATCAGCTCGCGAGTAAGTAATTTGGTGGTTGTGTGGTGACGATGACGTTGACTACCAATCCAAAGATGACTGTTGACAATGCCGATGGTGTGGCTGTGCGCGATAAACTGTCATTGTTTGGAACGCGCCGATAATGAAGGTTTCATCATATTAACTTAGGCTCTTTGCTTGAAAAACATTGGAATGTCACAGTGGATGGATATAGTAACAATATTAGCGATGATTAAACATATCCTAATTAAATGACAAAGAGGAATGACAATGCGCAATGAAGCTGGCGAAATACTTACGTGGTTATCCAACATAGTTTCACAAGCGAAGTTTAATTTAGTTACTTTATGGAAAGATTTCATTTGTATTTTGAAGATTTTATTGGGTTGTAAAACAGTGCGAAATACTAACCAGTGAGAGTCGTGAAGTCATCGAAACCTTGCCTCATACGATTTTGCCACCCCCCTCTGTTAATAACGATAACATCGAAAAAGTTAAAAAAAAAAGTGCTTGAAAAACGTGGTGTTGGCATCAGCGAGATAGCAGCGGGCCTTTTATGGATCGAATCAACTCATTTTGGTTATTGTTTTGTTTATGAAGCGTCTCCATACTAGACTCGTACTCTAAGCCCTGTATGCGCCGTCACACTATAGCATGATTGTGACTGACTTTTTGACAAAAAACGAAGTGAGACGCATCGCTCAGCCATCGTACTCACAAGATTGTGGTCCCAGCGTCTTTTTTCTGTTTTCGAAAATGAAAAATCCTCTTCGGGGAAATCGCCAAACAAACTTGAGACGTCATAAACAGCTGCCAAGCACACACTAATTTACAAATGCAGATCAAACTTTATAATAATAAAATATGTTCCTCGATTTGATTTGCACATACAGTTTAAATGCATCAGTCTGGGTCAATATTGATCTGGAGCGTACATGTATGTATGTATATTAAATCAATAAATCAAATCTTCGCGAAATTTGTCATAGCTTATCGTCCAAGCAACGCTACAATCTACGAACATATTATTCATAGTTGACCCTTTTAAGATATATGTACATAGGTGTCAAAAAAGTTGATCGATCAAAATCAAGAAATGCACCTGTGAAGGATAATATACAAGGTGCGTTCTAAAGTAAACCGGACTTAAAAAAAAAAAGACAAAACAAATAGTTTTATCGGCAAAATCAATTAATTTTAACCAAAATAGTCTCCTTCTGCTTTAATACAGTTTTTTGCACAGTCCAAAAGCATATCGAACGGTGCAAGCCTTTTTGTATGGCCTCCACGTCTGCATAACGCTTTCCTTTCATCGGCAAATGTATTTTTCCGAAAAGGTAGAAGTCGCACCGTGTCATATTAGGTGAATACGGGGAATGGTTAATTGTTAAAATGTGATTTTTGGTCAAATAATCGGCCACAAGCGTCGCTCGATGAGACGGCGCATTATCGGGCAACAAACGCCAACTTCCATCTTCGCGATATTCGCTTCAAATAACGCTTCAAAACTCCAAGGTAGAATACCGCATTAACTTTTGGCCGGGCGGAACAAATTCTTTCTGGACAATACCCTTGGAATCATAAAAACAAATCAGCATTGTCTTCCTTTTGACTTCTCCAGGCGCGATTTTTTGGGTTTCGGCATTTCTCATTTATTTCCTCACGACCACTTTGAAAACGTTGAAACCACTCATGCACTCTGCTACGGGATAGGCGATCATCGCCATAAAATTGTTTCATCAATTGAAACGTTTCAGTAAAAGTTTTACCAATTTTAAAACAAAATTTAATGTTGGCTCTTTCTTCGAAGCTCATTTTCGCACCGATGACAAAAACATACTGACACTTAAAACGCAATAACTTCACTTCCAATAGATGAAATGTCATGAAATTTTTACTGGAAGTCGATAAAGAATAGCAGATTCTAACGCACTGGTCGACATATAGATGGCGCCACTAGAGTTTACTTTGTTACTTTTTTACTGTTTACTTTGGAACGCACCTTGTAGCTTAGGTGCAACCGAAGTTAAAGTTTCTTCTTATTTTAAATGCTTTCAGCCTCTTTCCTACTCTCTATTTTGACATTTTCGAATCTTTTCGGAAGAGTCATAATGGAACTTGGTTAAGAAATATAAAAACCAAGATCTTTACAGAATTATATGGTAGGACAAATATAGCCATGTAAACATTAATGAATTTTAAAGGAGTAAAGCTTTGATGTTTTATCTTAAGTATCCCTTTTTAGGAGCTTCTCAACTATTGACTCTATCGAAATATTTTGTAGTTTTCCACTATTGATTATTCTAAATATCTGTGGATGGTAAAAAATTAGTCGGGGTATCAAGTGGAAATTTTCGGGAACTGAAAAAGAACAAAAACGAGAAACTGATATACAAAAACTCAAAGCAATATTTTTAAAACATTTGATTTAAAATTTAATTTTTAAAGTTTTCATTAATAATATTTCTCAAAAACAACTTCTCTTGTACTATTAAGGGTACATCGATAATCGAATCTGTCGACAGTGTTAACAATAATGATCGAACCATTGATTGTTTTCCAGATTTACTAAGCTATCGCATCAATATTTAAGTATGTGCATATATATAAATTATAGAAACCAAAGAAGGTTTAAGAATATGGAAGAAGAAGGCAACTATTTAAAATGTCAAAAACTCTAATCTGAGAAGGCACAAAATATGTAATTACTTGTAGTTAGAGTAATAATAATATCGATGATCGATCTTTGAACTTGAACCTTTCGGCCTTTGCTGATTATAACCTTATATTAATCACATTAATTAAAAAAATATATATTTATAAATTATAAAGACCAACAACTCTGATATTGATTTCAATATATTTGGTATTAATATTGTCTATAATTTTGTGTACAATCGTCTTATACATTATTATAATAAAGTTAAATAAAACATTTTTTTAAATTACAACTACAACTATACTCTATAACTACGTATTTATTTATATGTATGTACTGATATCATTTCTTTCGCCAAGAAATTATTTAAATTATGCAATAACATTACTTTATATACATACATACATATGTATATAATTACATAATCCATTTGTAAATACAGTAATATCTACAGTTTAAATCACTACCTATGCATATGTACAGACTATACAAAAGCACTGTGTTCACACATACATATGCACATATGTATTTGTATTTATGTATATATGTACATTAAAATTTTAACTTAACTAATTCACTGCATTTTCCGAATCTGTTATTGACCATCATTAAAATGGCAATTTAAAAAGCTACTTAATTATGTACTGCCTTTGAATAAAAGCATAATAAAGTATTTTTGACGTTAAGGTAAATATAGTTCATTATTTTAGCGTATTTATGTTCATAAGTTGTAGTAAGAGAAAAATGGGAAACTAAAAAATATATTAAAAGTTTCCATTTTCAGATTTTTTATAAGTAAATAACAAGAATATCACCAAATTAAAAACCAAAATATGACAATTAAAAAATAGTGAGAGCAAACTCATAAAATTATTAGAAAATAGAAAAATTACACTTCTTGTACGCATTCAAAAGACTAATAGTACAGGCAAATGTAATTCACGACTCATATGAAATTAATTATTTTGTCTACGAGTATACTTTAAGAACCCTAGGCCGCGCGTCTGCCCCATACCCTCAATTTCTACAGTGTGGTTAGATCATAGTCCTGTTTTATATGTTGCAGATTCGCCATCATATCCGTTTGTTGCGTTGGCGGCGGCAGCGACGTGTGCGTGTGTTGATTGGCGTTATGATGGTTCGCATGCATTTGATTGTTGTTGGTGGTTGCTTGCAAGCTGCCAGGTACACCGTTAATGCCACCATTCGTATGACTATTTGGCAATTGCTGTTGTTGTTGTTGTTGAGATCCTGTATAGCTGCCACTTCCGTTGTTATTACTGTTATTGCATGGATGCTGGTGCAGCGCTGCAGCATTAAGCATGTTCGTGGGATCATTTGGAACGGGCATATATGGTGTATTCGCCAGCGACGAATTAACATCACCTATACTTTCCAAACTATCCGTTCTCAAGCACTGAAATATATAGCGAAATTGGAAAAAAATATATATAAATAATCGAAAGTTCAATGATCTTAATTTATTCTTACTAAAATATATATTTTATTTAGTGCATACATATTTCAAAGGTTTTTTTTCTGTTTAAGGTGTACTCCACACCTAGTGTGAATATTGGAAAAAATTCATTTTATTTATTTTGCGTATTTCGATGGGACTGTCGACCTTTATACTTTTAAAAATAAAAGACTAAAATTTAAAATGCATATTTCAAATATTTTTTGAGTTTATCTTTAAACACGGTTTTCTCAAAACTAACAATTAACTATGCAGTTTGTTACTCGCATTTGATGCATTGATTATGATTTTCCAGTTTTTTGATTTGGTCAATATTTGAATTAACCAAAATTTTGTGTGAAATTCAATTTTTTTTTAACACATTTTGTTAATTTGTAATTAGTTTTCAACTGTAGGTCATTGTACGGACAATATCTTCTAGAGATAGTTTTGATTTTTACCGAAGCAGTGGAGAACCTTATTTTTTAGCACCGTCGGAGATCAGATGTAACTCGATAACTATTAAATTTTTTTTTCAAAATTTTACTGTTTTTTTTTATATGTATAAATATACTTTACATTTTTTTAAATAATTTAGAAAAACTCATTTTACTCTTAATAACTTTTAGATTATTTTTGTGGTTCTGGTATCGGCAAAAAATATTTGTCTTTTTCAAATAATTTGAATTAACAGGCCTCAGTCGGATAAAAATCTAAACGGTTGCGGTTACGTCATGAGATGTCTAACATATCTTCTAAAGTCAATAATTTTACATACTTAACATTATTCTTACAGAGTTATTGCATTTTTTTAACAGCTACCATCTAACTACATATATGAAGTGGTGAAACTCTACCAAATTTTATTTGAATATTTAAAAATGTGAGTTTAAACAACCATTATGTATATCTATGTACATACATACGTGTATATTTAATTTCAAACTTACCTCATTTATTACTGGAGGTTGTTGTGTTTGTTGCTGACTACTCTGCTGCAAATGTTGCTGCTGCTGCTGCTGTTGTTGCTGCGCTTGCTTCTTTGCACTCACTCTTTTCGGTTTCTTCGGCGCTACTGGTGTTGGATTTCCATTCGCGTCGACCGTCTTCTTGCGAACATTCTTCGTGTTGGGCAATTTATTATCTTTTTTCCATTTCATGCGTCGATTTTGGAACCAGATTTTGATTTGTCGCTCCGACAACACCAATGTGTGCGCGATTTCGATGCGTCTTCGTCGTGTGAGATAACGATTGTAGTGAAATTCCTTCTCCAATTCGAGTATCTGATGGCGGGTGTAAGCAGTGCGTTGGCGTTTAGGTTCCATGCCCGGCTGATAGGAGCCATTTGCTAAAAAAAACAACAAATGGTTTTTATTTATTTTAAATTACACATTTCACAGCGAATAATTTTAAATATTATAATTTTATTTAATTAAGAAACCAGGCCTATATAAAATTTTATCTTCAAGTTTATGATTAGAGAGCTTCAGCTTCAAGTTCATTTTGTGCCACTTAATTAAGCATTTTGTGCTTTTATCGCTTAGCAAAAACTTGAAGCCAACAAATTATGGCAAACTGACAGTTAATCGTTATGTACTCCTTTCCATTCCCCCTCAAGCGAGAGCCGCATTTGTGCCAAATGTTCGCGCATTTAATCAAACTTCAACTAAATTCGTACTGACTCCTTGACTTTAGTGGAAATTTTAATTTAACTTTGTCGGAAAACGAACACAGTTGTGCATTCGTATGCGAAAGGTGTGCCAACTGATGCGTCTGTCGCAGTCGCTGTCACTCTTTGACGGGGCAAAGGCCAGTGCAAAGTATGTTGTTACGCGACAGTACAATTAATCAACATCAAAATTGTGAAGTGCGCGAAGAAAAAACGGACAATAACTGATAACTAAGTGTATAACTTAAAAGAGACTTTCCCTCAAGGGCAATGGTAAGCAGTTGGTTACTTTCGCGAGGCAACAAGAAAAATCAACCCTTTGCTCAAATAGTGGGCTCAAGAAAATTGTGTAAATTTCACAAGAATTGCCAACACCTGCTGCCTCAGCGCAAAAGAACTTTCTTCGCTATAAGACACACAAAAGTAAATATACATATATACATACATATGAATTTACTTGAGCAAATGTAAGTTTATTTACAGTTAAGACAATCAACGAAAAATATATTAACTCAAAGTGAAATATGACTTGTGCTAAAGGAAATATATTTGTCTTTCAATATTTATATATTTCTATTGTTCTTTCCTTAAATTTTTGCTTTGTAACAAATATTGTAAATAGCTTTGTAATTGATTGGTTTTACAATCCGATAAACAATTTCAATGAAAGCTTTATTTTCGCTCAATAAATGTGTAAATAAGACGTAAAGACAGGCGAATGCCCAATTGGGAATTACATTTAAGATGAATAGAAGAATAGCGGATGACAGCTAAATGTTTATATAACTGCAGAAGCTATTTTTAGATATTGATCTCTTACTTTTTCAAATTCGCACGAAATAGAAACACCTTGTGAGTCCAAGACCATTTTCGGTTGGTGTTTCCCATGAAAAATTGGAGCTATTACATAACTTGCTAACTGTTGTGTTATTTAAGAGCTTGGATAAGTATACCATACATAAAGAAAGAAGCAGTATGTCTTATTCACTTCTCTCAGATCCTTAATACGCTTTTAAGAAACGATTTTTGTTTTTCCCTAAAAATTTAAAAAAATTTTCCAACTAGTATATTTTGTTGGATAATTCTTATATAATACGTTTTATTTGAGATATTGACTATTTTTCTCCACCATTTCATAAGCTAGTAGCAAAATATTACTCAAGAAGTAGCTGCCAACGAAACACTGGATATTCGTTATACGAGTTACAGTTCTTCTGATGAGTCAGAAGTCGCAAACACGAAGAGTCATCTGGTCAAATCTTATCCGGACTAACCAAAAAAACCACATGTTCAGTTATTTAAATAAAAATCTTTATTATCGTCTACAGAATAGGCTTCCTTTGAGCCAATATAAGCATGCCAACGCTGAATCTCTGGCTGGGATGGCCTTCATTGCTTGGTTCTGGTTTTGGTTCTCGCGGCTTCAGCCAACTTGTAGAGCGCCATTTGCTAAATTTTTGGACAGTTTCGACGTCATATGCATAAACCCTTTCCAGCATTGATTTAATGTAGGGTCAAAATTTCACTCAAAACGTTGTTCAGTTTTTTTCATGGTAAAAATCGCCCTAAAAACTTTTCGCATCGTAAACAAACAGCTGCCAAATACACGCTAAAAATATTTAACAAACTAGGAGAAAAAATAGTGGTTTTCGGTTTGCTAGCGCAGTTTATATAGACTACTTGTAGTTCGGGTATTGGATGGTATTCCAATTATTTGTATTTCGAAAGTTTGTTAGTAGCTACTTCCGCTGTTTGTTCTCTCATAACGGTTACGAAAACCATTTTCAATAGATTTCTTCTTATTGTGCACCACTAAATTTGAAGATATCAATTTTTTAAACAACTTTACAGAACGCAAAGCAACACCAGAATTTCTCGCATTTTTTATTTCATACTTATTATTTTATATATTTTAGCGCAAATACCTTAGCAGCTATTTTGCAACAAAACGAAGTTATTTACACGGTGAAAACATTGATAATACGCAAAAGCAAAAATTTCAACTGTTGTTGTACAATAACTGCGTATCATTGCACATACCAACAACACCAATGAATGCAATTCTTGATGACGGATGGCAACCCGACATCAGCCTAACCAACTGCTATCCCCCAAATGCGTAGTCATTGTCTCGATTTCTTAAGCAGTCGGAGAGTGTTGATTGCATGCTTAATGTGGCAACAAAAAAGAAGCCAATTTATTACAAGTAAAGTGCCGTATCATTGGGATGATACAACTTAAATAAAGGAACGAGGGCCAATAAAGCTATGAAAGCAACTGTATACTTATATACATAATATACTTATATAGGTGTAACCTAGTCTGCTTGGAGTTAAGGTAATATCGTGTAAGTTACATAATATGAGGATAAAGGAACTAAAGAAAAACCAAAAACAAGTTTGCTTAAGTATTTTCTTCAATTATTTCATTTCAACGCAAAAATAGGTATTTAGGTAGATACGGCCAGTTCTAGTAGCATAAAATTATTTTAAAAAAATCGGTCTCATTTCTTTAAATACATATATGACAAATCATGAGCGAAAGCTTAAGTGGTGAATTAAAAGTTCTTGAAGAAAGTTTTTTAGCGTTCGCCTTCTCAAAGTCTTTGAAAAATATATCAGGTATTTTGAGACTTTCTGACACTTCAGAAAAATATTCAAATAACCTTTCGACAAATCACAACGCCGTTTTGAAGCAACCAGCGAGAGCAACTTTTCATTTATGAATATATAATAATCATATCTATGTACGTATGTAGGTACATATATAAAAAAGTAAGAAACAAGTAGCAATTGTGTTGGAACTTTGTAAAAATAAAAGTACCATAACGAAAACATCAAAAGGCAATTACCATAGCATGTGGCAAAGTCTTCGGTTGAAACGATGACAATGGACTTGCTGATATGGGCCAATTTTCGACTTCACTCCATTCACCAATTTTCCAGAATTGAAACTTGTACATCTTCGCCGGCTGATCGGCTGATGTTTCTCGCTGTTGTCGGCGTGTTTGTTTTCCTCACAATTTATGCATGATTGATCGCACAATTATGACTTAACGCTTTTGAGAGACACTACTGCAACCAACGCATGCGCGAGTACATACTTGCATGTACACATATACTATACAATATGTAGGTGAACTGGTGCGCCAGTTCCTTTGTCACTTTGCCTCGTTGTTGTTTTGCTTCGCTTCTTTCGCTTTGCTATTTGAATGTTCGAACCATGTTACCGGCTTATTAGGCTGGCCGACGTTAATTTCGTTTATCATTTTAATCCGAACGCGATCAGTTTTACCTTGCCGGTTGAACACAATTCGACAGCGGTATGTGAAGATTCGACAAAATCGACAACGAGTACGTGTAAACAGCTTAGAACTGTTGCGCGAAACACCGGCAACTGGGCATACGCAATCGACAACGACGTCGACCACCGGCCAATAGTCACCGATAACATTGTTACTTCCGTCGCTTGATTGTAATGAACGACAACCTTTAATTATTGTTTTCGTTCACACCCATCCGCAACTTGGCTTCTTCTCGTTTGATCGGTGGCACATGCAAGAATGTATTTCATGAAATATGATTAATTATCGCGACAACACTTTAATTTGTAATTTACCGATTATTTTTTTACTTTTTACGCGTTCTCGTGTCAGGCTTCTGAATTCACGCTGGACCACCATTGTGACTCTTTGTATAATAGTGGAGAAGCGTTTAAGAAATTAGCACACATTTTTACTAATTTTGCACAAAATTACCGAAAAACGATCTTATGTAGATAATAGCCATCAGGTTTGAATTTTAATCTTCATTAATATTTATGTAATGTTTTGTTCAGTGCTAATTAAATAATGAAGGGAAAGATTAAACTTCTTTATGAATTAAATTTTTGTTCTGATCTGTCTTCATTCAAATTTGAATAATCTCCTAAGTTGTATGCCAATTTCTCTGAGGCTATTTTAGAGGCTATTCTGTAACTGAAAGATATTGATTGACAGATGGCACAGAATCATGCTTTCGCATAAATTTACGATAGCTGTGCTTTCTTTTTACAGACTACAAATGTTTAAATGTTGATATTAAATGTTTTTTTCACTCTGTTTAAGCACAGAATTCGATTTAAAAATTAATTTACTAAAGAAGAAGGAAAAAGATTTAGGGGTTAAATTTTACTCAAACTTCGTAAAATTCCTTCCATTTCCATAAAATTTATAGGTTATATATGTCATTTATAATCAAAAGCCGTAAGTAAAGAATAGTTAGTTAGACATGTAGATTATTTAAAAGTAAGTTTTAGAGCTAACTGTAAGTTTACAATGGGGAGAAAGTTTTTCAAATCATTCTTAAAATTAATTTTTTCGACTTTTTTCCAAGATGAGGCACCTTTGACTTAAAAGTGTGTGTAAACGAACAAAATTACAGATTTTGGCATAGACATGAGACCTAAATTACGGCTTCAGAATTTTTTGTTTTCAATTCAGAAGAGGCAATAGTAGTCCATACTTTTAAGTTGTTGGTTAAATGAGGTGAATATTTTCTTGTGAATTCAAACCGATGTAGTATAATGTTAAATTTCTCTTACCATATTTACTTAAAGATGGAGCAACATTAACACCGGGGCTAACGGCTCTTTGGGTGCAATACGCAAAAATTAAAGTTTCAAAGAGCAGATCACATAAA